CTCGACCAATGGTACACCGGGCGAACATGACATCCGAGTGAGCAAATATGATGCGTCGGTGCAAACGGTTACGTGATTAGAGGATGCTCGTTCAGTCAATGATATGGACTATTGCATTCTATAAAACATGATCTAATTCCATCAATAAAGATAAGCATTTGCTGCTATCATTTCCTCGTGTATTTCATTGGTGTCCGAGGTTCGGGTTGGAGCCAATTCAGTTCTGAGCAGTACAGTACAGATTCTCGTATTCCTAAATTCAATACTATTCCGATTACTACACGGCGTTCACGCAAATGTTTTGCTACATAACTAAAACTGATAGTCCAAGCCCTGGGTCATAAAGCGAAGGACCGAATACAGAAAACAACGCTCAACAATTTGCATTGCACTGATTGACTTACCCCTTTACACAAATCAGGTATTAGAGAAAAACGTCGAATTCACGGACAGCATTATCAACCACATCTACCGTAGTATAAAAGGAAACACTAATGATTTTTTTCATCTCAATGTCACTTACATTTTCAACACTTTTGCTTGTTCAAATTTGATTGAAATCTTCTTTGAAATGGTAAATAGCCAAATAGAATACGGATCAGTGCAGGTATCATTTGAAAGTTAAGGTAACGTCTGCTTTTGCCTAGTTGTGTCCATGTTTGTAAAATTGTCAGGATCAGGGACGCCGTTAGAAGATGTGGTTGTCAAAGATCAGATCAAATAACGTGAATGCACCCACTGCGTTAACTGATGAATAATGTGGTTACGTTACATTCTGCATGCTTGGTTACAATTTTTGCTACTTGGATCCATAAATATGAGGCAAGCCCACAATCTGGTAGCCTTCATTCTTTCTCAATCTGGTGTGCTGCGGTGCGTTTCGATATTATTTATAACAGATCAGTTCTCGAACAAATTTTTGTTCTAAAACCAGCTCTTTTGAATGAAACCACTAGTCATGTAAAGTAGTGTCGTCTTGAAGAGAAATACGAATTCATCACTATCTGTTTCTGTCTGCAACATTATTCGTAATTAATTACAAGTCTTTGAGACAACGTAGAATAGCATGCATATCCGTGGAATGTTTTCTTATCATCTAGCTATTATGTGATGTAGAACTGATTTCTGCCGGGTGCGATAAGTATATTATATCAGGAAGATGCGACACTTAATACACTGAACTGTAAATAACGAAATTCAAGTTTTCAGACGGATAGTTGCAGTGTTTTGAAACTCTATAAAACGAGCATGTTTGCACGATGACTGAAGGAACAATAGTTATAATTGGAGTGAACATAAGCGACTGGTTTAGCGCACAAAGAGAGTGGTAATGTTTATGACACAATAACATCGAACGTAAGGGAAACTTCCACAGCGTTGCAAAACATTCAACACCTCCAAAAGAGCCACTTTAGATAACGTCACCATTTAACCAAATACTAGAGGTGATAACATTAGCAAGGTTTTAGAGTGCCGGAAGTAGGTGCCTCACTAAATTACTCTGGGACCTTTTTCAACTACAACTTGCTTGGTGATCCTTTTATTATTGGTTATTGTTCACGCTATACCTTTAAACAAAACTGCAAGTGAACCATGAAGAAGTAACCTCGAATTCGGCTCCTATTAGAGTTTATCAAGATTGTATACTCCTCCATCCGTTGTGTACTGTAATTATAGATCCATAGTATGAAACCTGTATGTGTTATCAATGCGGGCTCACATTAAGCCAGACCAGAATTACTGATTTGAACTTGCTCAGAAGTCGTCTTCAGTGACAACCGGTTTGTTCGTTTGCCCCAGCAACGCAGGAAGATATAGTATGCTCCAGTAACTCCGTTGGAAAGTCTCACACCAAATCAGATCTTCCATGCGCACGGGACCAAGTTACCCTATTCAAATAGCCAAGGTAGATTTTAATTCATATCTAATTTGAAGTTACTCGTGAGTAGTGCTGTAATAAGACGCAAAAATCCGATTCTCTGACCTATTCCCTAACACCCTGTTGTTATAATGAAAAATGAACGTATTGAAGTTCACAAAGTTTGAAACTATTAGGAAAGCGACTTAAAACATAGCATTTATTTGAATATCTATAAGTCATTACTAGTAATGAGTTATTCCCCAAAAGTCAGAGGGGAACAGCGGCCTTAGAGGTTCCGGTTTGAATTCACAAATCGCCTAGATAGTGCAGTACGGTGACGAATAAAATCACGACAGTTCAGCAGTTTGAATTTTTGTAGATGAAGATAGTAAATTGTAATGTGAAAACTTCTCATACTTTCTTCAGGTCGATTTCCTCACACATACCACTTTTGATGGTAACTGTCATTGCACCATTTTTGGATATTTCCCAACAGAAAAGTTTGCAGTTTCAGTATGATGACAAACGATATACAAGAATTTTACTCGTTGAAAACAGTATTGTATTTCAAAAGACGAAAACTGGATATACATGCTGGAGATTGCTCAGTGAACGGCAACCGGTGTAAAAGCCAAGTGTGATATTGAAACGATACCAGCCTAACGACACATCAGGCATCAAAATGAAATAATTATTCCGTGGTTGCTCATGAAAATAAATAAATCCACTGATTCAAAGGTGGAATGATTTATGCCCCAGTATTTAAACATATATCTTGGGGAGTTATTTCGAGAGAAACCAACGTTGAAGAATCATTAGCAATATAACCTTGTAGAGTCTTTTGGTGATTGGATGGATTAAACCAGAGCCAATTTTACAACAAAGTTAAGGTACGGTGAGTTTATAATAAACTGAATGCAAGAATGACTTGATATAGAGAAACTTTGCACTGAAGATTGGTGGATATATACTACTTATCACACAGTGTTTTGGTTGAGGATAAATAGAAAAGCCATGAGACAATAATTCGCATGTTCGATAACCATATCATAAGCAAATGCACATTTTTCATGGATTGTATCGATTACTGCTTGCATTACTCTTATTCAAGGGTTAACTTTCTATGGACAGGAACAGATAACGAATACTAGGGGCCGGAGGATAAATCAAACCACCAGATGTTGAGAAAAAAAACTGACCTTTATAATTCATAGTTTTAGTTCGTGCAAACAATAAGTTTGCATATCAGCTGATTATGGCCTAACAATGAAGAGGTAAAATGAGAGAGTAAAGCGCAGAAAGATATAAAGATGTAGCTACACAATGCGGACAAATTAAAATAGCGTAAACCTGGANCTGTTAGGACGGATCTCAAGCAACCCGTCCGATTGCGCAGGCCTCCGAGTCAGGCCACATGCACGCTTGTAACGCACCAGACAGGCTGAACCCGATTGGATGATCACAGAAAGTGTTAGCCAATGTTTGTCCGATCGATCAATCGATATGTCAAGGACGCAATCTGATTGGTGCGTCACTGCGCCGCTCTCGTATGCGTGATTTGTTCTATATATTTGCGTATCGATATCTGATCAAAGAGACACACTGAGTGTTGTCTCAAGCTATGTTCTCTCTCCGCGTTATCGTGTGGGGTTAAGCAAGAGTCGTTAGTGTCATTCGTACGTATAGTCCGAACACCAAAGCTGGCGACGGGAAAATTTACACGTCCTCAATGTCGATCACGCCGGAGCAGTTACAAGCAGTTCTCAAACAACAACAGACGAAATTCAAGGCCGCGCACCTGAGGATGATGGAGACCAGCTTACAACGTATCAGCACACATCCCAATCCGGCAAAACCGGTTAAAACGTCCACATCTATTGACGCTGTTGCCACAAGCATGACTGAATTTGTGTACGACCCGGATGACAAAACTACATTTGATTTCTGGTTCAAACGTTGGAAAGATGTATTCCATTTTGAGTTTGCAGATGCTGATGATGGATGGAAGTTGCGATTATTGCTCCGAAAGCTGGGAACCAAAGAACATGATCGTTACAGAGTCATGATTCTGCCCAGAGGTCTGTGTGATTTCACTTTCGAAGAAACGGTCCAGCAACTTTATACACGTTTGGTGAAAAGGTGTCCTTGTTCAGTATCCGGTATCACTGCCTCAAGTTGGCGATACAGATGACTATCTGACACTAGTCAGCATTGTGAACCGAAAGTGCAAGAAATTCAAGTTGTGTTCAATGACTGATGACCAATTCAAATGCCTGATATTTGTGTGCGCACTTCAGTCTCTCCGTGACGCAGAAATCCGCACTCGTTTACTAAGTCGCATCGAACAAGACCCTAACATCAATTTGCTGATAATAACAGACGAATGCCAGTGGTTTGAAAACCTCAAACATAACTTAGCCATCGTTGAGCAACGCGGCCCGGCTACAGCTTCATCCAATATCCATGCTGTCACAAAGCCACGGTCAACGTTTACCCGAAAGCCGCAACAATCCTCTACCCCCCCCCC